TGAGATCTAACATAGCTTTTGTGATTTTTCTCTGTTTATTTATGAAAGAAACAAAAAGTCCATCTGTGTGATTTTTAAGGTTCAGTGGGAAGAATCCCACAAGTTTCTCAAAGTTGAGTTTCCTGTGGGAGTACGAAGCCCGACTGCTACGTATGAGATTCAGTTTGGTCATCTGCAGAGACCCACGCACTGGAACACGTCGTGGGACTGGGCAAGGTTTGAGGTAAGAAATGTTACTCAGCAATTCCTCTTAGTCTTTAACAGCTTTGTTTTTTTTTTTACGGTGTTTTCTGACTAAGGTTTGGGGTCACAAATGGGCAGATCTGTCTGAGCACAACTTTGGCGTGGCGCTTCTGAATGACTGTAAATACGGTTATTCCATCCATAAAAACACAATGACTCTGTCCCTGTAAGCTTTTCCTGTTCGTAGAATACATGAAACACCATCTTGGTCAGATTTCTGTTTGTAATTTTCATTTTTATGATCCTTCAGACTGAGATCACCAAAGGCCCCAGATACTACTGCCGACATGGGGAATCATCAGTTCACCTACGCCATCATGCCCCACTCACGTAGGGTTGGTTTGGTTTTGATCTGTTACAAGCTAGACAGACTCATTAAACACATATTTATGTTATCTTATAGGATCCTTCCAGGATGCTTCTGTCATTCAGTGTGCTTACAACCTAAACTACCCTCTGAGGCCGATCCAGTGCCGTCCTGACTCTGCACCCTGGAGTGCCTTCTCAGTCAGTCCGTTAGCAGTCGTACTGGAGACCATCAAACAGGTATTGCATTTACAAGCCAAGCTCAGTTTTATGTGAAATCTGTTGAGACTGGGAAACATGGCACCAGCTTTTAAAACCACAAACTTTGATGATTAAAGGAATAGTACACCCAAAACATGATTAGCCTTCATTTTCTACTCACCCCCATGCTGAACAACACTCTGGAGTACTTTTTTGATATCTCAAATGCATCTGGAGATCTGGGAGGCTCCTTGCTGTCTGCTGACATTCAAATAATGGAGGTCCATGGTGCCCGAGGCAGAAAGGTCCATAAAAGTCCACAAAGAAATGTGTCAATATTCCTCCACACTGCTCGTCCAATGTATTCCAAGTGTCCTGAGTGGGTAGCGTCCATAATTTACTCCAAAACGAAGTCATTTAGAATGTTTTTAGAGCATAAACAGTAGTGTATAGGACCTTGGGACCTGAGGGCATGCGAGTTCACGAGTCTATGGAAACCGCGGCAGACCAAACGAGATGAAAGTGCGCATTCAGCTCGGCAAAGAACTCATGCTCTTCCTCAACAATGAAGTCCTCAGACATTTTTCTTTCGTTGTTTCTTTCTTTGCACAGGTAAACAGCACATTTCTTCTTCTACGCTTGCATTATCGGCAGAGCAGACGCTGAATGCGCACTTTCATCTGGTTTGGTCTGCCGCGGTTTCCGTAGACTCATGAACTCGCATGCGCGCGCATTTAGGAAGTCCTATACACTACTGTTTATGCTCTAAAAACATTCTAAATGACTTCGTTTCGAGTAAATTATGGACGCTACCCACTCAGGACACTTGGAATACATTGGACGAGCAGTATGGAGGAATATTGAAACGTTTTTTGTGGACTTTTATGGACCGTTCTGCCTCGGGCGCCATAGACATCCATTATTTGAATGTCAGCAGACAGCAAGAAGCCTCCCAGATCTCCAGATGCATTTGAGATATCAAAAAAGTACTCCAGAGTGCTGTTCAGCATGGGGGTGAGTAGAAAATGAAGGCTAATCATGTTTTGGGTGTACTATTCCTTTAAGGATCTCCTGTGATAGACCAACACAATATCGGGCACAATTGTGAGTTGGAAGGCAAAGGATGCACAATTTAAAAAAAACTTCTATTAAATTTAGATCTGAAAATATGGGCAAGAATTTAAGATCAGCCCCCTTTATTGCCGCCTGCCTCCATAAATCCCTTACATATTGATTAGTCAGTCTGCATGTAATTCAACCTCTGTATAAAGTTAACTCTGTAAAGGCCTTAAAGGTTTCTTAGTGATTCAAAATTTTAGAATTTTATAGTAATTTAGAAGTAGAGAGAGTTTAACTTTACTCTAGCCTTAGCTGAAAGGCTATGTGAATAGTTACTAGACCATAGTTACTGTGGAGGAGCAGCAGAGGGCCCCGGTTTCAGTGGGAGATACTTTATTCAGATACTCCAAACAATGTTTTATGTGAAAAGTCAATCACAGCTAAAGTTTGAGAAATTTCAATTTGTATTGTGCCTCAAATCCAGCAGAGAGCACCGGTCATATTTAGTACCAGCAGATTAGAATAAAAGTAAACTTTTAAAGCTGTTTGGAAAAGGCATTCAGAAAAAAATGTCTCACTTTCTCTCTCAAGCCAGTAAGAATTGCTAATCAGGTTCAATGAAAAAAACAAAAATCCCTTTATTTTTAAAAACTGTATAAAAATGTTTACTAAATTATTTTGCATGATGATTAACAAAATAACCAAATCTTACCTGTGGTGCCACTACATGGGATTTTAAGACCAGGTGGTGAAAACGCTCTTAATTTCAATCTGTTAATATCTCCAACTTCAAATGTAAAGCAGTAAAACTTAGAGGCAAAGATGGACCTCATATAAACCAGTTATTCAATCCTATAGTGTAAAAATCTTGATACATATGATACATAACAAAAAGAAACCGGCCCTCTTGTTTCTGAAATACTTGTCAACATTTTTTTGTTTTTTATATTTTATACCCAGTGCAATTACTATATATATATATATATATATATATATATATATATATATATATATAAAAACACCCATTTAATACCATGGGCAATAAGGAATGGGAAATAAGAGACTTCAACTAATATATATATATATATATATATATATATATATATATATATATATATATATATATACACTCACCGGCCACTTTATTAGGTACCCCATGCTAGTAACGGGTTGGACCCCCTTTTGCCTTCAGAACTGCCTCAATTCTTGGTGGCATAGATTCAACAAGGTGCTGGAAGCATTCCTCAGGGAGTTTGGTCCATATTGACATGATGGCATCACACAGTTGCCGCAGATTTGTCGGCTGCACATCCATGATGCGAATCTCCCGTTCCACCACATCCCAAAGATGCTCTATTGGATTGAGATTTGGTGACTGTGGAGGCCATTTGAGTACAGTGAACTCATTGTCATGTTCAAGAAACCAGTCTGAGATGATTCCAGCTTTATGACATGGCGCATTATCCTGCTAAAAGTAGCCATCAGAAGTTGGGTACATTGTGGTCATAAAGGGATGGACATGGTCAGCAACAATACTCAGGTAGGCTGTGGCGTTGCAACGATGCTCAATTGGTACCAAGGGGCCCAAAGAGTGCCAAGAAAATATTCCCCACACCATGACACCACCACCACCAGCCTGAACCGTTGATACAAGGCAGGATGGATCCATGCTTTCATGTTGTAGACGCCAAATTCTGACCCTACCATGCGAATGTCGCAGCAGAAATCGAGACTCATCAGACCAGGCAACGTTTTTCCAATCTTCTATTGTCCAATTTCGTTGAGCTTGTGCAAATTGTAGCCTCAATTTCCTGTTCTTAGCTGAAAGGAGTGGCACCCGGTGTGGTCTTCTGCTGCTGTAGCCCATCTGCCTCAAAGTTCGACGTACTGTGCGTTCAGAGATGTTCTTCTGCCCACCTTGGTTGTAACGGGTGGTTATTTTAGTCACTGTTGCCCTTCTTTCAGCTCGAACCAGCCTGGCCATTCTCCTCTGACCTCTGGCATCAACAAGGCATTTCCGCCCACAGAACTGCCGCTCACTGGATGTTTTTTCTTTTTCGGACCATTCTCTGTAAACCCTAGAGATGGTTGTGAGTGAAAATCCCAGTAGATCAGCAGTTTCTGAAATACTCAGACCAGCCCTTCTGGCACCAACAATGATGCCACGTTCAAAGTCACTCAAATCACCTTTCTTCCCCATACTGATGCTCGGTTTGAACTGCAGGAGATTGTCTTGACCATGTCTACATGCCTAAATGCACTGAGTTGCCGCCATGTGATTGGCTGCTTAGAAATTAAGTGTTAACGAGCAGTTGGACAGGTGTACCTAATAAAGTGGCCGGTAAGTGTATATATATATATATATATATATATATATATATATATATATGGATGCACTTTGTATACTGTATATACCCCCATGCACATTTTGAGCCGATGTAATGAGTACATTTCTCCATTGTGAGATCAATAAAGTCAATCAGTAAAATGCTTTGAAAATGGTTATTAAGCTGATTATACTGAAAAACCTCTGGCTTAGATTCCTATCCATGTTATATTTGCTAAGTTTAAACTCCAGATCAATTTTTTTGTCAAAATTTTGGGAGGAGACTCTAAAAGGGATCCCTATTCATCTAGTCAGTCTGTGTTTTATTTATTTTTTTTGTAAATCTGCTCGACACACCTTAAAAACACATGTAATTGTATTTCAGCAATTAGTTGTACTCTGTAGTGTCTCTCAGGGTGATAAAAATGCCGTTAGAGGTTATATAAAGGAGTATAAATATGATTAAATGCCTTTTAAGTGTAATTTTCCTTACTAGGCAGAGGATGGAAAAGGTAAACTTATCCTTCGTCTTTACGAGTCGCATGGGAGCAGCGTTAGTGCAATTCTGCGAAGCCACTTTCCCGTGAAGGAAGCCTGGCAGTAAGTGCTTCTATTTTTATCTCACATCATGATCTACTTGCATTTTCTCTAAGAACAAAGCTATTTCTTTCAGTTGCGATTTCTTGGAGAGGAAAGACCCCACCCGGCCAGCACGCATCACATCTGAGGGGATCTCTCTGACCTTCCAACCCTTTCAAATTGTGACACTTCAGATCAGTTTGTGATTGCTGTCCACCAATGATTCAGGGTTTAGAAATTGGACATATTTGGTGTAGAATGATGTGACAACTTTGCAATAAATAAATGCTTTTGTAAAAAAGGTTTATTTGGTTTAAAAAAAACATTTTTGAAGAGTAAAATTCCTGCGTGGATCGGTTTGATTGAAACTTTATTTGCTGTTTTTTCTGGTTGCTCTCCCACTTCGTGTCTCTCTGCCTGCAAAAACAAGTATGGAGAGTAGATTTCACACACTACAGTATTTTACTAAAACTAACCTTTTTTATATTAGTTGATATTTTCTCAGGTGTTTACCTCCAGGAGGTTGTGCCATGCTGCTTTTCCTTTGGCGTGTGCTTCCTCTGGTTTCCCTCTGTTGGATACCTTCCTGCTTCTTTTCGGCATTTCCTTTCTTTGATACAGCGTCCTTCACATGTGCAGTTTCCTTTTTTGGCATTTCCTTTTTCACCGCCCTCCTTTTCATTGTGCTCTCTGTCACACTTTTGGTCACCTGAAACAATAAATATTGGGTTACTAAAAGCTATACACTTTAAATTTTGTCTAATAAAAACAACTTACCTTTTTCTTGGCTGTATAATCATGGTCATCGCCTTTCTTTGCCCTCTTTTTTGCCTTGGGTGATTTTGAGTCTTGAGAGGTGAAACAAAGAGCTGGTTAAAACAAAAACTTGAAGCTCACTTACACCTCTTTGGCAAAAATGATTAGAGAATCATTCACCTTTGTGATATCGGGCAATTATAGATGTTACAAAAATATTTTGCTTATATGCTAGAGCATTCTGGATTTGTGAAACACATAATGTGACCGCACATTTAAAAAAATAAATAGCTTACTGTCCGGAAGAAATCAATTATCGGAAACATTTTCATAATCTCTTAAGCACAGATTTTACTCTCGAAAAAGGATTTCCCTTAGTTCCAAAATTCTGCTGCAGACGACAGATAAGCTTTGCAGGATGGCGTCCTGTTATGCAACAATTTCTTGTTTTTACTTTTCATGCCTGAGGTCCTGTTTGGAGGTTGTGTTAGTGAGTTCATTTTCCTTCTGTCAAGATTTTATCTCTCTCATGTTTAAAAGTCTTCAGCGTCGTCCTAAAGAAATACTTCTTTTTAAAACTACTATCCCAAATGATGGGGGAAAAAAGCAGGCGTCTACCTCAGTGTTTACTGGAAAATAAATAATTGCAATCTGTCCTTCATGCAGCCAGATAAGAGTGATGTAAAAGTGGTTGAACAATGAATGTGAACAATGAAATGACAGCCTACAAAGGACCTTGAACAATCAAAAGAAACAGACTGGAGCTTGAGTCTGAATTTCGGGAGCAACCTGACAGATTTATACAACTAGGGCTGCAACTAATGATTATTTTACTAATCGATTAATCTGTTAATTAATAATCAGATAGCAAAAGGTTCCTCAAAGAAGATTTCTTACAGAATTAAGAAAAGTTAAACTAAAACTTATCCACTTGAGGAGTTCTGAATAGAACATATTAACAATTTTTTAACCTTAAATGCAAAATGTTTATACCAGAATCTTTAAAAAAAAATTACAATTACTGCTCTAGTTGTGTTTCTCTGTCAGCTAAAGGGATGTTTTAGTCTCTATTCTCCAGTTAACGATTAATCGATTTCTGAATTAGCTGGCGATCATTTCAATTATCATTTAGTTACTATTTATTGTTTCAGTCCTATATAGAACTGTAGCACTAAATAACAAACAAGAGAATAAGAATGCATTGTTCTGTGGAGCAAATCAAGGTCTCAGATTCTAGACGGAGAGTGAAGGGGCACCGAATCCAATCTACTGAAGGGGAAGGCTGAATTTCTCTCAGTCACCGAAGAATACAGTAGTCATGTCAGCTGCTCCAAAGTCAGCACAGCACTTCTCTGATGGCTCTGCTAAGCCACAGCCTCCTTTCCAGACTGCAATGAGGCAGCAAATTAGTGCTAATGTAGCTCCAACTTCAATTGATGCCATACACATTACTGAGGAGGCTGACATCTCTGGATTACCAATTGTTTCTTTGTGCATTGTTTGGCTTTATTTGATATAATGATCAGAGAAAGAAAACTATTAACAAACAAAACACTTTTAATGATCTCTGTGTGTTTACCTTCTGGAGATAATTAGCTGAAATCATTTTTTTTTTTGATGACATTCAGAGGAACCTAGATGTTCCTGTTTTACCATCTTCGAGGTTCTGCGTGTAGATGCTCTTAAGTTTAAGACCAGAAGATTTACACCAGGGGTAACCAATTAAAAATCAGCAGGATCCAAATAAAGAAAATCAACAACCAGTAAAGGTGACATTTCTAATTATAATCTGTTATTTTAAACAGAATTTAAGACTGAAATAAAATTAGGTTTTTATGCATCCATGTTATTAATTGACTTTTTAAATTAAAAAAATATATAAAATAGGATATTTTCCCATTTTAAAATAAAAAAAGTAAAAGTGTTTTTCAAAGTAGAGAACAACAATCGTTCAGTTTGGTATATAGACAATTTCCTGATTCACATATTTTATAAAACACCTGACCTGACCATTTGTTTTTTTCTTTTTTATGGCTTAATAAGAGAAGTGAGCTTTAGGCTGACCTGCAAGGCTTTAAACCTGATTGGCTAAAAAGCCATCCTCAAGCACATCTCGAGGTGCTCATTTGGGAGCCTGGATCTATACTTATTATTGATTCTGTTCATGGTGGAGAATCCTGCTTTACAGCAGCAGGTTGAGCCAAACGTACTCAAAATGTGCAGGGCCATCTTTGAGCACGCCATTTCACTTTTCTTTCACCAGTTCAGAGTTCTACCAACAGTCCACACTTTTTCTGCTTTCTTTTTCTCATCATATTCTCCTTCTTTCCCATTGCCTGACTTGCCACAGGTTTGCATGATCTGTATAAAAGTGGCTGGCAGCAGTGACCCAGACTAACACAGCTCATTGGCTAATTTGTATCACATGTGGCCTGATCCCGGACGCTCCAGAAGGCTTTCATATTAACGGGAGAAGTGCTGGATGTAAAGTTAGACAATGTCGATGGACAACATGCGGTAATTTATAGATGTTTTAAATGAGGTTGGGTCTGGAGTAGCCAGCAGGTGGATCCGGATCCAGACAGCAGTCCGCTAATCTGTGACCTCTTATTTAAAGGGACGCTGAATTCCCCTTTTGGGAGTGTTTTCATAATAATATTGCAAAGTTAAGGCCATGGCTCGATCGGAATGGGGCAAATCAGTAAGGACACTTAATCCAACGATTGATTCTGTCATTGGTTACCATGATAAGAGCTGTGCGAATAGGGCTGTCAGTAAGGAAGGAGGTAGAAGAGGGAGCAGAAGGCTTCTTATCAATAGTTCATTTCACAGAAGGACCTCCCCAAGTTGCTTTATAGCAGGCATCCCCAAAGTCGGTCCTCGAGGGCCGCTGTTCTGCAGGTTTTAGAGGTTTCTCTGCTTTAGCACAGCTGATTCTGATGATGCAGTTCAGCAAAGGCCTGTTAATCAACTATCAATGTAAATCAGTTGTAGTGGAGCAGGGAAACCTCTAAAACCTACAGGACAGTGGCTCTCGAGACCGACTTTGGGGATGCCTGCTTTATAGGATCTATATGAACTCCCACAATCCTTTGTGAGATAAGACAGCCCTGCTCATAGAATTTAAAAAACATACAGTATTTTGTCAAATGCACTTGTGAGAAACATGCAAATCTGTCATGTTTTGGAATTTGTGATGAGAGCTTCAGGTGTCTGCCTGATTTGTGCAAATTATTAGCCATCAGCCCGTGTTTCCTGTCACTCAACCGGTACACTTGTAACTGCAGACTCATTCTAATAATCGGAAATGTACAAGGTGATTTTGGAAATGCAACTTTCCATATTTTTTTCAGTGATGAAATTAAGAGCATTTTTCCAATACTTGCTCCATTTATCTTTTTGATATGTTTTACAAAGCCAAAATACTCCTTTCCTGCAGGGTTTGCTCATGCATGCAGTTTACTTACCTTTGGGTGCCATAGGCCCTGGGTCTCCCTGGAACAAATTAGAATCTTTACTTTTATTATCAGTAGATAATTAAAATTAGATTAGAGATTTTTTTTTATTTACTCACTTTAAACCACATTGTTCTGCCATTGTGGTCCCGAACTGATTTCATTCCATCCACATAGTAACACTGCAGCCACGCCTCGAAGGCAGAGTAGTCCACCTTCTCAGGGTCGTAGCCCTTACCACCTAATAAAACAACATTTCTCATTCATTAAGGGTTTAATCAGGGTTTTAAGCAGAGGAAATTAATAGGAAATTAAATGGGACCCACCTAGGCTGACCACCTCTAAAGGAACTGTATGACAGAGTCTGAGCAGGTCACCCATTCCCTGTGTTTTCCCTTTCATTTTAGCTCTGTCTGGGATCTTTCAGGCAGAATAAATATAATGTAAGAATAAACAATGCTGAAGTTTGTTTGGAGGAAAGAGGCAGGCTTTTTTCCTCCCTTTTACCTCTGTCTTTGTATGCTCTTTTTTCAAAGGCTTCTTGTTCTCAAATTCATCCTCCAACTGAAGGCCTTCCAGTGCGTCCCGTGCACACAGAAATGGTGGGATATTCAACCTAAGACAAAAAGGAAAAAAACAGCGCTTTGTTTGACAAACAGAACTCTTTCACACACTGATATAAGCTGCTATTTATAAAGTCCGCAGAAGACTGCGTGCATGGCCTTGGTCTCTTTTCACAACCGTGAACAAGGCCGCCCTATTTCTTCCAAACTTTTAAAGGAGTCTTTCAGGATAGGGAGCCCCTTCACTCTGACCTCAGTTAATCCTATGAACCTCACCTGCTGCTTTTATCGGTTTGAAACTTTTCAAACAGACACTTTAAACATTAAGATGACACTGTAAACATTGTGTACATCTCAAGCCTTGAATACTGTGATACTGCTAAAAACCTGTGTCCAGGCACTTTACAGAATAAATACTCCGCACTTGGTTGCAACTCCTTTTGCTTCTGCTGGCAAGGAGATGATCCATCTGTGGCTCTGAGGTGGAATAATGAAAGCCCTCATTGCTTTAATATTGAATATCTAACAAATTATTCAAAGATTAATAATTAGACCTTGTATAATATGTGTGGAATATACTTATTTTGCTATCTTCCTTTGCAAGGATGTTGCTTTGGTGCTACATGAAAGTTCCAGTGAGCACATTCCTGGTTTACATGTTTACATTATGTTGTGTTATTCCATGCATGTTCATCACCTGTACAGGATTTCAGCTCTCAGGTAGTTCCCTATACCATTGAAGTACTTTTGATTCAGCAGGACTTCACAGATCGGACGATCAAAAGCTTGATCGCTCAGGTGAGACAGGACATTCTCCCTGCAAGAATAATTGTAAAGAATAATGTCAAAGCAGAGTTCTGGGTGTGCTGATGACTGGTGACTTTCTCAATTTTATATTACAGACTAGGGCTGCAACAACGAATCGATAAAATCGATAAAAATCGACTTTTAAAAGCGTTGGCAACAAATTTCATCATAGTTGTGTTGCGCGATTAATGCGTCATCCACCGCCATCATCACTGCCACTTGATTGAAACGGGGGAAGAAAAAAAAAATACGGCAGAGCAAGCCAGCGCCGGAGGTGCACAAAGGCTTTTTTCAAAAGGCAGTTATGTCAACTGTTCTAATGACCGATACCGCAACGCAAGCTGCGTCTCAATTCGCAGACAGCCTGCGCTTTGTAAAGCGAAAAAAGTCGTAACATGCAACTTTTGTAAAAACAAATTAACATGGCACGGAAGCACCACTGTTATGATGCAGCACCTGAAAAGAAAACACGTTGGAGCCTTCGATGGCAGTGAAGAGATCTCATCAGCAGGGTGAACCACCATGTTTGTTTCATTTTAAAGTGGGGAAACGTAACGTTAGTTTCTCAGGTAGCTCATCTGATGCTTTCCTTACCTTGTTAGTAGGTTACAGACAGTGATAAGGTTGGCTACTTATTTTACTTTTATTTGAATTAGCTTAAGCAGCGTTTATATTTTCTTTATAAATAAATTAACTTTCAAATTATGAGGGCAAGACTTTTAAAGTTTAAATCTTCTGGCAAAGATAAAGTAAAGAAGATCCTGCAATTTATGGAAGTAAAGCAGAATAAAATCCAGCAAGATCAGTCATATGTCCATTAATTATATGCTACATTCCCATGTAAATATCTGTCTTTGGAGGATGTGTTTTTTAGCACCCCTAGTTCTCTCATTTTTATTCCAAATACAATTTATAATTTGAATCACAGGGCTATTTTTATCTCTATGGTTAAGTATTTTCTCAAGTAGCAACTTTAACTGCTATACTTTCCTGTCTTAAAAGGCAGAACTCTTCTAGTCTAAAAAAACCTCATTTGTTGAAATGGGGGGGCTATTGTTTGAACCCCTTAGGGGCTTTTAAAAACAAAAATGTATTTTTTTGCGCTTTATGAAACAAAGTAGCCTATATTTTGTGGATGTACAGCTACATTTCTCATGTAAGTTTGCGTAGTTTTAACAAAAACATTTATTTTTCATATTGCACCAGTACAGTTAATGAGCAACCTGTACTTGTGTGCTTGTTTGTTCTGTCTAAAATGTTTATTTTGGAATAAAGAGGTTAATATAAAAAATATTTTTTGTCCGATTCATCGATTAATAAAAAAAATAATCCGCAGATTCATCGATTTTTAAAATAATCGTTAGTTGCAGCCCTATTACAGACCTGAAGCTTTTGTATTCAAACATGATGCAAGGCCCTCTGTCAGGCTGCCAGGTTCCGTTGGGCTGCCAGCTGCCAAACCTGCGTGCGTCTACAAAATTCAGTACCCTGCAAGGCTTTTCCTTGGTATAGAAACGGAGATGGGCGTGTTTTGGCACCTCATCCTCTGAGGTAAAGCGGAAGTAACCTGACATCCCAAAACGAAAGACTATGTCCATGGGTTGATCTGTTTGTGTGACCTTCGATCGCCGCTTTCCATCGTCACTCTTAATTGGTGTCAGTGTGAGCTTGACTTCCTTTCCTCTCGAAGCAGCTGTGATGCGGTACGACTCACAGGTGAAGGACACATCAGGGCTTTTGCTGACCTCAGATTTTACAACTGGTCCACTGAAGACCACTCCTTCACACATCTTGTTGACATACAGGCTGGCCAAGTGGAGTTCAGGACCCTCTGGCATTGTGCTGGAACAGATAATTCTATGCTGCAGAGGAAGAGAGTCAGTCATTTGCTGAGAACGACACATTGAACTTTTCCACATTTTTTCCTCCTATAACCACGTCTTTTTTCTGGCTTTTATAATGTGAGTTTTTTTTTTTTTTTTTTTTTTATAACCAAAAAGGTTGATTTGCATACCTTCAAGACCAATTTATGCTGCACTATTAGTTCTGTAAGTTTATCTATATATGCACAACTTTGACATCTAAAGACTGTTTTTTGCCAAACCATCATTGCATTTTAGCTCATGCTTAATCATATCGGATGGAGTTTCTAAAGGAACATTTTTAGGATCTTGTCAGAGAAAAATGGTTTTAGGCCGTGACTCTAAAACAGGAGCCTCTTTTGATCCTAACCATTCCATTATTGCTCTGACTCTAGGTTTGTTGAAGGTTATCCTTTCTTCCTCCAGGATTTCCAAGTACATGACCTCATCTGTTCAACTTTTCAACTCTTGACACGCATCTTGTACCTGCTAAAGAAAGGCATCCCCAGAGAATCCTGCTGCCAAAGGCACTTGGCACATTGAGGATGTGTGTTAAGCCTAACGTACTACGTGTATTCATGCCAAGGCTTTATTCTGAACGGAATGCCGAAATAGTCAGATCTGTATGGTGTGCAACAATCTACACACTGAGTTTATCAGTTGACTAGTTCTCTGATTTTGCTCTTTCTTACTAGAAAAGATTGCTCGATATGAGCTTTAAAGTATGGCAAATAGTTTTAGAACTTAATCCTGCTTTCAATTTTTATGCAGCTTCACCTCCGATTATCCTGCTGTGCTCTTCGCTCTGTATGATGTGGATTATTTAAAGTGTTAACAAAAGCCTAAGGCCTTCCAAGAACAACCGAGTTTAGAAGTTAAAATTAAATGTAGGTGAAGTCTTAACAACCATAACTGTTGGCAAAGTTATGATTAATGCAAGTTGTTTAAAAAAAAATGTATATATATATATATATATATATATATATATATATATATATATATATATATAGTTATTAGGGTAAAGTGCATCTAACTATTCAGATCAGATTTTTTTTTTTTTTTCCATTTACAGAAAATGTGGAAACCAATGCAGTGATTTTTTTGGGTGCAGCTTTGTTTTTGTCCAACAGATATAACCAATGAAACACTATGACATTTGCAGCTGTTGTAACGTAGAAGTTAGAAGTTTTTTTTATTTTTCTGTTAAGCCTGAATACCATCTTTTGGGATGAAGAAGATAACACTGAACCCTTCGATAAAAAAAAAAGGCTTTGCGCATCTGGATGCGAGTGCATCTTTAAGGTGAGATTGTGTTCCAACTTATCATCCAATCTCTTAAACTGTTCGTAAATAAAGCCTTTAACTGTACAGTTTACAGATGTCTTAATGTGATATCCAGATACAAATTCAAACTTTCTTCATTACACCTCAGCCAAACTCTCTAACAGGCAATGTCTGTATATGAATTTGACATACGAGCGCAAAACTCACCCTAACCAGGAAGTACCTTCCGGTACAAATGCGTCTTGTTTTAAATAATCGCAGCTGCTACAAAAAAAATAAAAATAGCAGCATGCGCTGTTCTGCTGATACTTTGCAGACAAATATTTCAACCTGCAAGATGTTTGCAGCACGCGTTTGTTACCAAACATGTTGCGTAATAATGCACATCAGTCCCTCATTAATTGTTTCAGTCTCGCGAGATTTGTGTTAGTTTAACAAAAAAATATATTAAACTACATCAATGCGTATTTTTAAAGTCGTGTATGTGCTCTAAATGATTTAAAGAAAAAAGTAATTTTCATACATTTTTACTTGAAATGTACCATAGATTCCTTTTTATATTGCACGGGCTCCCCCAGTGCATGATGGGATATGTAGGAAACAAAGGAAGAGAAAAAATGTTACGTGTTCATGTCTTTTTTTATTTTTATTTTACAAATATTCTTATTTAAAACAAAACATATATTGACATGATTTAAACAAAAAATATTTAAAAAATTATATTTCATGAAAAAAATGCTATTATTAGTTAAGGGATAAATTAGACAGGAAGGCGTTTCCACCAGAGTATAAAGGTGAAAACACAACAAATAACATTCAAGTAAGAAATTTAACTTTATTTTAACATTGGATATGAACAAAATCAAGCACACAGTTAATACTGTACAACATGTAAATATGGCACTTGTGACATTTCCTCAAAATCATTTGTTACTTGCTCCCAGTCAATGGTTTGTTCTCCGTTCTTCATTGCAGTGCGTTCATCAAGGCCTGTGCCTGTTTAAGCTCTGTGAAGCGGATACCACAGCATTTTAGAGATCAATAAAAAGCATTCAAAAATGGAAATATGATTAGAAAAGAAAGAAAAAACACTAACCAGTAAGCAAAACTCGAAACTTATCCTGTGAAACTGAGACCACTGTAGTGTCAGAGGAGCCTGGTTCTGATTCATGGGTCTGAAGTTTAAGATGAATCAGGGGTTCATTCACCTCTCCGAGTTCACTAGAGCTCAGAGTGTAATCCACACGCCAGGAAACTGAGTCCAGTCTTCTTACTGCAGTTCATGAAAGGGTAGATGGTACACGCAGTCAGCATACTTCACTCCAGACAGCATTCGTCATCAAAAACCTTTGACCTCTATTGAATTAGGAAACTCACATCTCAGGCTGGTTTCTTTTAATTTGTCTTGAAGTGCAGAGTGTTTGTCTTCATAAGATTTGCAAAGCCCCGTAGCATGCTCTAAGGAAATCGGATAATTTTAATGATGCAGAAATTAAAGAATAGAAACAGTTTTGCAACAAAAATAACATTACTAGATTGTCAAATAAAGTAAACAAACATACATACATATACATACATACATATACACTACCGTTCAAAAGTTTGGAGTCACCCAAACAATTTTGTGTTTTCCTGAAAAGTCACACTTATTCACCACCATATGTTGTGAAATGAATAGAAAATAGAGTCAGACATTGACAAGATTAGAAATAATGATTTGTATTTGAAATAAGATTTTTTTTTTTTACATCAAACTTTGCTTTCGTCAAAGAATCCTCTATTTGCAGCAATTACGGCATTGCAAACCTTTTAGCATTCTAGCTGTTAATTTGTTGAGGTAATCTGGAGAAATTGCCCCCCACGCTTCCAGAAGCAGCTCCCACAAGTTGATTGGTTGGATGGGCACTTCTTGCGTACCATACGATCAAGCTGCTCCCACAACAGCTCAATGGGGTTCAGATCTGGTGACTGCGCTGGCCACTCCATTACCGATAGAATACCAGCTGCCTGCTTCTGCTTTAAATAGTTCTTGCACAATTTGGAGGTGTGTTTAGGGTCATTGTCCTGTTGTAGGATAAAATTGGCTCCAATCAAGCGCTGTCCACTGTGTATGGCATGGCGTTGATAGCCTTCCTTATTCAGAATCCCTTATACCCTGTACAAATCTCCCATCTTACCAGAACCAAAGCAACCCCAGACCATCACATTACCTCCACCATGCTAAACAGATGGCATCAGGCATTCTTCCAGCATCTTTTCATTTGTTCTGCATCTCACAAACGTTGTTCTTTGTGATCCAAACACCTCAAACTTGGATTCATCCGTCCATAACACTTTGTTCCAGTCTTTGTCTGTGTTCTTTTGCCCATCTTAATCTTTTTCTTTTATTGGCCAGTTTCAGATGTGGCTTTTCTTTGCCACTCTGCCCTAAATCCCAGAATCCCACAGTCGCCTCTTAACTGTAGATGTTGACACCAGTGCTTTGCGGGTACTATTTAATAAAGATGCCAGTTGGGGACTTGTGAGGCGTCTGTTTCTCAAACTAGAGACTCTAATGTACTTATCTTCTGCCTCAGTTGTGCAACAAGGCCTCCCACTTCTTTTTCTACTCTGGTTAGAGCCTGTTTGTGCTGTCCTCTGAAGGGAGTAGTAAACACCTAGTAGGAAATCTTCAATTTCTTAGCAATTTCTCGAATAGCCTTCATTTCTAAGAACAAGAATAGACTGTCGAGTTTCAGATGAAAGTTCTCTTTTTCTGGCCATTTTGAGCGTTTAATTGACCCCACAAATGTGATGCTCCAGAAACTCAATCTGCTCAAAGGAAGGTCAGTTTTCTAGCTTCTGTAACGAGCTAAACTGTTTTCAGATGTGTGAACATGATTGCACAAGGGTTTTCTAATCATCAATTAGCCTTCTGAGCCAATGAGCAAACACATTGTACCATTAGAACACTGGAGTGATAGTTGCTGGAATTGGGCCTCTATACACCTATGTAGATATTGCACCAAAAACCAGACATTTGCAGGTAGAGTAGTCATTTACCACATTAATAATGTATAGAGTGTATTTCTTTAAAGTTAAAACTAGTTTAAAGTTATCGTCATTGAAAAGTACAGTGCTTTTCCTTCAAAAATAAGGACATTTCAATGTGACCCCAAACTTTTGAACGGTAGTGTATATACATCATACACACACATATATATATCCAAAAGCGCTGAGCAGTTAAAAAAAAATGCCAAGCACAAACCTTTTGGCAGGCCGAGTTGCTGCAGTTCACTGGACAGAGATTCACTATCGACATCATGTTTTGAAGCGCTGGACAAAATAAAGTTGAGAACTGCTATGCTGGCTTTAATGTCTCCACTCTCTGAAGGACACATAATTAAAAGAGTAATTTGGCAAGAAAAACAGGAGGCTACAACACTCACAAACCACTGCTCAATTTTTGCAGGAATAAAAAAACACTATACTGGTTTAAAAAAAGGGCCTGTTTTATTCAAATGTAGCTGATGCTAACCCTTGTTTTGACAGAAACCAAGAAAAAGCATACATAATAAAACCAAAATGTTTAAAATCATACAATTAAATATGTTACTATATACATTGTGGAAACAATGTTATTTTTTTATTATAAATTAAAATCCTTTGTCCTTAGAATTAAAGCTTTGTCACCTTACAGAAGATTTTTTTTCCCTCTTGTTTTTTAATTTTTTGGTAAGTGCATCATGTGTTTAAGTGATGTCTTCATGGCACGAAAAGTGCTCCGTGTTGGCTTAAAGGGGAACGCTGTTTTTTTACCTTGATTTTATGTTATTACATCATGCTCTACTCACCCATATGAGTTTTGTGTCATTTGAAGCCGTTCTGAAGATATTCAGTTAGGTTATATCCAAGTAACCTATGAGCAAACGTCTTGAAGGCACAAACTAAACTGTTAATAATTTATTCTTTATGGTACGCCAGTATTCATTACATGTCGGCAAATCACTGTCCTCCAGACATCCGCGGTTAAATTTTTTATCTTTATATGTTTTAAAATCAAAGCGGCTCTACCCCTTCTATTCATTCGGCTAGATAATCGGAATCGTTCAATTCCATTTCGAGGGCGAGATCATCTGTGGTAGTAGCACTAGACATCTTCCAGGTATGTGAGTAAAACTAGCAGCAGTTCAGTAAACAGGAGGAATGAATGGCAGCCGGTGCACGCGGATGATGTCATACACACGCCGCTTCGTTTTTAAAAGATATAAATATAAAAAATATAACCACGGATGTCTGGGGGGACAGTGATTCGCCTACATGTTATGAATGCTGGCGTACCATAAAGAATGAATTATGAACAGTTTAGACTGTGCCTTCAACTCATTGCCTATAGGAAGACATTACTTGGATATAACCAAACAGAATATCTTCAGAATGGCTCCAGCTGACACAAAACAAATATGGGTGAGTAGAACATGATGTAATAATGTAAAATCAAGGGCCAATGTAAAAAAAAAAAAAAAAAACGGCGTTCCCCTTTAGATGTTTATGAACAAAGATCCAAATTAGATATTACAGATTGAATAGGAAAATATAACTTACACCTATTTAATGCAAGCTATTTTCTCCAAATCAATCACAAGATAACTGGTCTTCTAGAACAAAAACATTTTTGAGAAGCACCATAAAGTGGGAGAAAATCTGCATCCTGAAAGGAAAACATTTCATATCACAGCAGCAAGAAGATTAAGCATGAGAAGAAACTTACCAAACTTTGCATCTGCAGTCAGTTTTGTTACCTTTTCATACTACATCAAAAAAGACAACAAGAAGAAAAAGTGAGTCTGATGTAAAGGGGATGTTTTGATAAGTTTGAAAAAAAATATGTGTTGAAAAACTTACATCTATACCCTCACCCAGTAAATCCTTCAGCACTTGAGCACAAAGGAGTTTCATCTTCACACTCGACTGTACAGAAATGTAGAAGCAAACAAGCATTCCAAATTAAATCTAAAGACTAATGTGTTTTACTATTATTAGCATGAAATGAAGCAGCCAACTTACTATCTTTGCTAATGTACTGATTTCGGCCAGCACCCAATCGGGGCAATCCAAATCCCCACAGAACCGGAACCGCTAAAGGACATAAAGAAACCAAAGAGTTTACAAAATGAACGAACTTTTACGAACAAAGACATTTGCAGTATTTCCATTCTTAACTTATTAGCTTTGCCTGCTAGCTACATGAAAGCGGTTCTTTAACGGTGACTCTGCTTAGTTTGATTGGCGTTTAAGTCACATCAACGCAGGGAAACAAATTTGCCTCATATTTTCATCTCATCTGACAAAATATAAATAGAATACATGTTTAAAAACAACATAAAGTCATGAGCAGACTTACCATGGTTGTTAGTGGGAGACCCGGAAGTTAGAAATCTTTCCACGTCTCTGATTGGTCAAAAGGGTGACGTTTCAGTCTAAACTTGTGACAGACGTGCTGGTTGCTCCCGGTTCTGCCCCGCCCACTTTATGAGGCTAAACTGGCAAACATAGTTTATTAGGAAAGGAATAGTTTAATTTGGACAAAAGTGTGCTTACTAACAATGGACCAGCGGTGGAAATTAAGGCCCAGGGTGAAGGCAGGCATGGGGGCATCTGAAATGAGAAGACAGCACACAAAGCAGTATAATTACACAGATGAAGACCTTTTTTTAAACATTTGTTTTTCTGTCTCATTTTCTCGTTTTCTTTCTCTATTTTTACTTTTTGCCCTTTGCATCATCTTCCTCTCCTCATTTTAATTCTGCTTTCCTTTCTCTTGCTGTCTTTTTCTCAGAGGTTTTATTTCCTTATCTTTCTCTCTCTGTTTTCTTTAGTCCATTTTCCCTATTTTTTTAGTCTAGGCTTCAGCATGCCTTGCAAAAAGCAGGTCCATATCCACTAACTTATGAACCCTCAAGACAGAAGCCCCAAGGCCTGATGTTTTCCAGGAAATAAAACATAAAAAAATCACCCCAAAAATGCCTACATGATTTTTTCCATCCTCTGTAGCAAAAACAAACAAAATTATGCATAAGCTTTCCCATTTTCAATGGGACAAAGAAATAATAAATAATTATTAATATAATAGGGGGGAAAAATCTCCCATTTGACTATTTTTATACCCAATAGTTGTTGATCTCCGTACGGCCAACCAGAGGTGTCAAGTAACAAACTACAAATACTTTGTTGGGTATCTATACTTTATTGGAGTAAATATTTTTTAAACTTTTTAATCCTACTTCTTACATTTTTTTTGCAATTATTTCTACTTTTTACTCATTATATTTTAAATATAGACACATTAGCTTTGTTTAATTTAAGCTAATTTTTGTTATTTCCTGTTGGTATAACAAAAAAAATAAATAAAATTATTTGTTTTATCCTGACAATTAATTTCTCTTTGGATGGAATAGTTACTGTACCAACTTGTTGTTCACTAAATACCAAATAAATAGTTTTTCAACATGATTCAAAGTTAAATTTGACACTATTACCATTTGTTATAAAACTAAGAAAATTAAGTATAAGTAAGTTAGCATCCAGAATTGTAGAAAAAAATATCCCTTTAATAAGGTAGAGCAATAAAGCATCTGTCCTTAACATTTTTTACTGCATTACTTTTATTTTTATACTTTAAGTAGTTCGTGCTTTTAAACTTTTACTTGAATAAGAATCTTAAATTGTTTATCTTACTTATGCAAAAATAATTCTACTTGACTAATGAAAATTAATACTTTTGACACTTCTAAGCCCAACCCTGCCCAACAGGTTTTGGTGTCATTGCCATGCCTGCTGCTGGTTCTAGGCTGCTGCTGCTTATGCTGGCCACTGATGCAGTGAAGAAACTAGTAACTTTTGTTAACTTTGACAGCAGCTTTCTGCTTTTGCTCCTTTTTGTTCTTCTCTTTTTAACACTACTAGGCTAGCTTCGTCTCTTCTTTTTTCTCCTCCCATCTCATGTCTTTGCACTGTATGTTTTCATTTGTTTTGCTTCTGTATTCCTAAAACAATACACATAAGGCAACAAGCATTCTGATTGCATTTTAACAAAAGAATATGTGTGCAAATAAGAACTAGACAACCATAGAGTTTTACCGAATGGTAACTCTTCCCCTACATCCAAGTTCATTTTGTCATTTTTACTTTTTTTGGCTGAGCAGCCACAATGTGATTTTCTCACTTAAACACATCCGAGAAGTGTCCTAAGAGCTGGTGATATAGGAAGGCATTAAAGGACAGTGAACCCCCTGTTTCATTCAAGAGAAAATGTTGAAATGACTAACAATGCATAGAAGTCTAAATAAGTCAAACTGCTGCCGTGTTGTGCTAACAATGGCCTGATTAGGTGGACCTATTAAAGTAGCCTGTGAATATATAGAAAGTTTGAATCTCTTGAGAAATCCCTTGAACTCCTAGCTGCAGGATGTGAGCTTTTAATGAAATTAATGGCAACATAATCCATCTCCTCCCTCTAATTTTGTCAGAGTTGCAGTGGGACTGGTGTCCCAGCCTGTCGCAGAGCAGTGTGGGGGTAAAGCGTCTTGCTCAGAGACCCAGATTGCAGGCTGTGGGGATCGAACCGGGTATTTGCAATCTTCTCAGAGCACCACTGGTCCAACAATTCCACAAATACTTGAGAATTCTATTTTCTACTTTTACTGAATCCAATATAGTTGCCAACTTAAGGCCCCTGTGTGGTTGTCCAGTAATACAGGACTTGGTTCTACTTTGTCAGTAGATTTTTATCTTAAAACTCTCTCATATACTGTCTGGACTGTATAAACAAATTAACAAAGATAGTGCAAATTTCAAAGCAAGGCTTGCAGATAAGGAAAGCCTAAGGCCAAAGCTTTGCACAGGAAGGCCACCATTACCCCAGACAGCCTACGTATACTGTATAAATGCTGAAAAATGGTTTCTAACAACTAATTAGCAGCATGAATCAGGCTGTGAACTCCTCTGGAGGTAAAAGATGCTGTTTACTGTACCACAAACTCCTGGTTAGGAACTAAACATTAAAGTTGTTTAGATCGGATGATTATGAAGTACAGGGAACATCAGGAATCTATAATTTGAAACAGAGTTTACAGACATTATTTAATGTTTACTTTGAAAATTTTTCAGCACCACATCTCATTACTTGATTCTGTCACCATGGTGGTTAAATTGTCATGAAGGAAAAAGAGCTCGACTGATGCTAAGAATAGAATCCAACCAAACTAAACTCCCTTCTTAAGGCTTCCTGGACTCTGCATCAGGGTCAGGTTAAGCAGCTTTGTCGTTAAGAAGGAGCTTTGAGCAGAGCTGTGGCCCTCCTCTTCATCAAAACAGCTCAATTGATGTACTTGAATTATCTAACTTGTGTGCTTTCTTAGAGTTTCCCTTTAGACATGTTTTTATTAAATGCAGTTGATAAATAATTTTTAATTAACCCAGGAGAACTGTCATCTTAATGCACACTTAAGATCAGGACAGATTTAGCAAAGAAATCAGACAAAGAAAGATAGATCTACATAGAAATGCAATTCTATCTATGTAGATCAAAGTTTTGGCTCCGTGCTTCTCTATTGGATAAAAAGATCTATATCCCATAGATACATTTATCTGTGGGGTAAAAAAATTTAAAGTGCTCCTTCAATAGACTCTTTAAAAGTACATCTTGCATTTCATCTTTCCTGTACAAAGCTATTGGAGGACATATTGTTCTTGGTTTTGAGCACTTGGTGACTTTGAACCAATATTTTTTGGGGAAAAGGTTTCTCTTGTTCGGTTAAATCAACTGTCAGCTTTGTTAAAGTCAGCAAGTGCTCATAAATGTACCTTTGCAACCATCCCATGAAATTAGTTTCATTATGTCAGAATGGAATATTTACATGGCATTTGATATTTTGAAAGGCATGCAGACTTTGATAAATTGGCAAACTCAACTTTAGTACTATTTTCCCTTCAAGTTCTCTGAAAAGTAAAAATGTTAAAGTTGATTAGGCTGCAGTGGAACTTGATATCCTTCCCCACCCCTCACCCTTCCAAAAACAACACAGGAAATATGAACATATTTCTTATCCAGTATAAACTACTTCAGGTGTTTCAATGCCTTTGACTCAACAGAAAAAAAAATTTTAGGAGCTCCAACCAACTAAATGTTACTGATACAAACCAACCTTTGTGCAACTGTAGAACAGCCTTCACAGCAGTACATTTAAGTGGTCTAAAGGAATAATATTTAAACAGGTGCTTTTAAAGTTTCACAGTGGTCAGCAGCAAAGCGGAGTACAGCTTCTTGCAGTAGACTTGTGAAAGCTGACAGGTTTTTTATGTTCTGTAATAAAAAAAGAATAAAGGATGTTAATGAATCATTGCTTCCAAAATAAAAATGAGTAGAGAATTGTGCACATGAGGCTTATGAAGCATTATCTGTCTAGACCGGAGATCTTCAACAGGGGGGTCCGCAACCCCTAGGGGGTCAATGGAGGTACTGCATGGGAGTCGCGAAAGTTTTGGTTGATTAGACTTTTTTTTATATTCCCCCCTGCAATTTTTTCCACTAATTGAAATGTCTTTAAAGACACAATAACATGAATTCAACACACAGTAGTAAACAGATAAAGGAAGCAGAAGAGGTCTTTCTGTCATCAATGCACACATTCATCGACACGCAGGTGCTCTTTAATGCTGGGTACTGTTTCATTCACAACACCTGTCCCATCAACAAGGAATCCAAATCCGAATCAGAAATATTTTAATAATCCCAGGGCGAAATTACTTTCGTTACATTACTCCATCTGTAATAGAGTGACTATGTTGATATAACATAATTTCTAACAATATATATAATTAGGGGGTCCCCGCTCCATCTCGCCATCAATGGGGGTCCTTGGCCTGGAAATCGCTGAAGATCCCTGGTCTAGACCAAACAAAATAAAACACCTATTCATGAAATTACATTTTTTTTTTCAGAGAACATTTAATTTCTATTTTTCTTCTTCTTCGAGTGTATCGTTCTGGAAGTTCAAAATGTTTATGTTAAACCATATTTTTTATTTAGTGATAACCTTTTAGTGATAACCTTTTTACCATCCACATTTTATTATCTTTTTACCTTTTTGCTATGTTTGTTAAACATTATAGCGTCACTAAATAAAGTAACTAAAGTGTATGTTTTTTGTTTCTTCCCTTTTTTTTTTTACTTCCAGGAAAATATGCATAGCAAGCATTAATATAAATAGTCTAGTTCTCTATTTGGACTGTAAAAACGAGGTACAGCGAAAGACACCATGCTTGGTTCTTATTTTTAATCCAGTCAGTTGCTGGTAATAATGGTTGCTTAAGAACTTGGGGTTGGTTATTTTAGACGACAAAAACACCCACAAGTCAATATAACAGCAACATAAGTACTAATGATACAAACGTTTGAACGTTAAAAGCCATCTTCAAAGCCACATATGCTTCTTTGCTTAGTCTCTTTAAAGTATGCACACATTTATGTTCTATCAATGTAAAATGAGACTTAAAAAAGATGTTAAAATCTAATTATTTCAGTCCAGATGGTTTTCTGACACTGAATATATCAGAACATTACCATTCAAAGTGCTGCAGAGAAATCTATAATTAAACCTGTTATATTTATTCTAATTGTATACAGCAGGAAATGTGGTTCTACCCTTGTCAAACAGTGACTATATGAGGCGAGAGGCAATGTTAGATTTTCTGGCTTCTCACGTTGTCATTTGCAATGCGAGAGATGTTTTTTTGTGCTGATTTGTGTGCCAAAAGCAATGGAAATAGTTTTTCCACAGTGGGTTTCACTGTAGTTAAAAGAAACATTGCAGTAAACTGCGGGTAGCCACAGCAATTCATTCGATCTTAAAATAAGAGATTTCAATGTTTTTTTAATGAATGTGGACAATGGTGAACCTGTTTGCAAACTAGTTTAAGGCTTTTGGCTCTTTGACATATTTTATTGAATAGGCCCAAATCTTCATGCTGAATGCTAAATTTAAGTGTAAAAGTATTAAAAGGTTTCACAAATAAGTTTTTATTTTTGAGACAAAGAACATTTCTTGTTCTATTAACAGCAGTAAATCATAACAATTTAGTGATAAATGTTTGATCAAACAAACAAAACCTCTTTTTTTTCATGCAATAAAGCATGGTTGGGTTAAAAGAGATGTTGGTGATCAGAAGGTTAAAAAACGAATCTGCAAGAGAGGCTCACAGCCATATTCTTCTTCTGGCCCCATGTAACACTGAATCACTTGAGTCTGGTGTTCTAGAGCTCAGCTGATTAACTTTTAATAATGGTTCTTTAAAACTGAATTTGCTACCTGTAAACTATTAATTTTGCTTTTAAAGGATGCATACAGTATTTACACTGTGTGAAAGGCATCACAGAGAGTGGAAATGCTTAGGCTGACTAATTTATATGCCTTAAAACATAATTTGTGGTTCTGAGAGAAAAAGTACTTTTGAAATCAATCTACCTGCCAGGAAGCCTAATGTAGCTCAGTCATTATAATATAGTTTATCTGATTTCTAAATGTGTCGGATTAGGTTTAGAATAAAAAATGCCTTTTTAGTAGTAAGTGTTTTTTGGTGTTTTTGATGTTGATTGCAAAAGAAAACATATTTTGAGAGTGTGGTCAATTTTCAATAAATATACACTCTTTCTTCCTGTTCAATACCTATATTAATATATAAGTATTTTAAATAGCTAAAAAAGTGAGAAATTTACTGCTAAGTTGCCAACAATATTGCTAAGAAGGTAAAAATAAATACATTTTAGACTAAAAAGTATTTCTTTTTAGACTAAACTGGAATGTGTGAATTCCTTATCAATATTTCTTAGCCATATTTAGGTAAAAAATACTAGTTTCCAAAAGCTTTAATTTTGAAATTCAACAAACCCAAGGTGACAGTAGGGGTTCTTTACAGTCACCTTGAAGTGAAATTAGTAACTATTATTCTCATATATTAATTTTAATAGAAGCACATAAGGAATATTTTTAAACCGGAGGAGCGTAAATATGAAAAATATTACAAATTTTATTTTGAAAGGCCAGTGAGGGGTTGGCATTAGTTCATTTGAATGCGGAGTCTCAATTTCAGCAGGGCCGAGCTCAATTTGAAACTGAAGAGCAACCTGAGCGGAATAATCGGACATCATGAAGCATTTATTTCGTCTCCCTGATTGTCGTTATTATTAGACTTTCATAAAAATGAACCGATGCGCAAACATTAGTCTGTTTCTCGCTGTGGATTTTCTGCTGTTTCTAATGGGCTTATCAAAGGACACACCGACGCTTGGCTTCAAAGGTAGTCCGAGGCTACTCTTTCCTGGTGAGTCAAATTTAATTTTAAACAAATTCACTTTAAAAATGTAATTAGCACATTTAGGACATCTTTATAAATTTAGGTTTTAATTTTTTTAATTTAGAAAATAATAATAATAATAATACTGGCACCTTTCATTTCCCCCTCAGATATAATCAATGGTAGATATCAGCATGAAGTTAATCAGACCCACACTGTCTTCTTCTATAAAGACCAATATCTTTATGTTGGAGGGATGGATTTTGTTATTAAACTAAATACAAATGATTTTCATGTCATAAAGGTGAGTGTGACTAATCTTATTTTATTTATTTTTTTATTTCATTTTAAATAACCTGCTTTATAGGGTCAGTATTGACTCCAATTGGGGGTTTGGAAGATGACTGGACAATCCCAGGCTGCCTGCATAATCGTTGCTATGCAGTAGGTCTAATTAAAGAGGAGACCAACATTGACTTAGACTACTTTTATTGTCATTTTGTACACAAAAAGTGTATACAAAACTAAATTTACAATACAGATAGTACAGATTATCAGACAGTAAATTAACATTTCCATTCCATAAAGTGCAATATTTAATTGGTTGCAGCATTTTAAACCTGTATAATTTAATTAGGGGGTCATTCTTTTTGTCGCACCCTTCAGTCACTTCTTGCTCGATTCCCTTTCAGGCTTTTCCATAGTCGTTGCTGCACCAATTTTACTTAAGCTGCCTTAAAGCCCAGTAAACAGATTACAAAACAATCAAACTCTGGATTAAATTTCAAAGATTGCTTTCTAAAGTCAGATATATAGAGCAAAGGTACAACAATTATTCAGAACAAAATAAATATTAAGAATGCAGATTTAAGGAAATGTTGGATATTGTTGCAGGAAATGTTGCATCTGTATGTCAAAGCTTGACAGTCATTGGTAAAAAAAAATATTTTTAACCCAATATTTAAATGGTTTTGCAGAAATACAATGTTGTTTTGAAGATGACCTGAAGCCTGTTATCAATCTTTTCTTGTCATCTGGTCTGTTTAGGAGTTAAGAGCACATGGATAGATAAAGAGATATGTTTGCATTTTAAATTTGACTGTTTTCTTAAAAAAAAAAAAAAAATAAGTTATAAATTGTAGAGTTGCAGCATTTTTAAATCCTGATTACAGCAGTTTTATTAGGACTTTATGGTGCTGTTTGGTGTTAAACATATGAAATCAAATATGCAGGTCCTCAAAGATAAACATGCATACATGTTTTTCTAGCAAAGAAATATTCCTATACTAGGACTTAACTAAAAATATTCCACAATTAGTTGGTCCAGAACCTTTCAGACTCTTGGACTATTATATATTTAAACCCTCTCAGTTTGATTACTGCACCATTTCTTAAAGGAGGGGAACTGCAGATGGTCAGCCCAGCCCAGATGACTGTTTTCCATCAACCACCTTCTAATAATCTCAGTTTGGGTGTTTGCATGACATGTTTTATTTGATAGGGTATAAATAAACCAACACTTAAAAATAATTGCATGATGTTCTTGGATCAGTTTTTTCTTTTTCTTTTTTTTTAAGAATAATAACAAATAAAAAATATGTATATGTATATTTTTTTTTTTTTTTTTTGTTTTTTTATTTCCTTGGCAGAAGTTTCCAATCCCAACGACTGGAAGGCATCATTGCTTTGACGTGAGTAACCTCCACAGAAATGTGTAGAAACCGTAAATGTAAACATAAACAGTGTTGGATAACACTGGACTGTGTGCTGTAGGGTCCCTGTAAAAATGTAATCACCGTCATTGAGGAGTTCCAGGATGGCCTGCTTGTTTGTGGAACAAATGGACACAAACCGTGGTGCTGGGATCTTGTAAGTGCCTCCATATGCGAACGTCCACACGTTAACACCACATGTACTGTACTTTTAGATCTATTGCTTTAGCAGAAAGGTAGAGGCAAAGCTGATTACAGAAGAAGAGCTGATCTTTGGCTGTTTAAACTTTTAGCATCCCTGCTGTATAATTAAATAGGATGCTGGGTGTCTGATTTCCAATTAGTTCTCTTTTGTGGTTTCTATGACGCCCCCTTTTCCCCTGTTAGCAGTTTACTTCTGAGAATCTGACCTATGAGGTGTTGCGAAGCCACAACGGCATAGGAATCTCCCCTTTGGACTACACACAAAACAGTTTATCACTCACAGTGGGTATGTTATGGTTTTATGGTATATTTTGAACAAAATTAGAGCTAAATAAAAATCTTATATACATTTAGTCATGTTTTAAAAACGTTGCTGTTAGTTTGAGACTCATCAAATAATTCAGCATATCTTCCATCCCATATGGCCTGCCGTTTTAGATGGGGATTTATACGCAGCAGCACCTTTGGACATTGAAGGAAATTCTTTGCACTTCAGGAGAAAACTTGGCAAGCGGCCTCATCTCTGGATGTATGATCGCTGGTTATCAGGTGAGGAAAATGGTTAAATTTTAAAATTTTAAATCTTGTTTGCCAGAAAATCTAATAATATAGAGCCTTTAAAAATTAAGGGTTATGCTTGTTTTTTTTAGATATGTTTTCATTATGCACTAATAGACCGAACAGAGTTTTATGCTCTGACTTCTCTGCTGTGTTCATTGGACCTCATGGTGCCGCTTTTGATCATGATACTGTTAATTTTTGTTTATCTACATTAATCGTTATGTTGAATGTGTGCTGCATTTAAACATTTATTATAGAAAAAAAAGGAGAATATTTTGAGTCGAGTCAGAAGTTAAACAGCAATTATGACTAAAGGCACTTTGAAGTTAAATGATTAGATTAAAGAAAGAGTCAGTGTCCTACACATGATTTTTTGTTTACTGTTATTCAAGAGCAGGTACAGAAAATGCACCATGAGGCATTCGATATGATAAATACTGAGTAAAGGAGATAAGACCAGATTGACTTTTACAGATAAACATAATTAATTCTGGTGCAGATTTATTTTTAAGTTAAGTCAGACTAAATGTGTAGGAATGCTAAAATAAGGATTTGTTGAAGGTACTTTGGTTAAACCCAGTCAATGTTTACCATGTGCTTCTCATGTGTTGTTTATGGCTATCTTGTAACACTGAAAAAAATAATGAAAACAGTGTACATGTAATTTAAACACAGTTTCTTCCTGCAGAGCCCACATTCATCTCTGCATCCTGGGTGAAGCGTAGGGACGATTCGGAGAATGAGAAAATATACATTTTCTTTCGAGAGAAAAACTCCAACCACAACCCAGATGCTGAACCCTGGATTTCTAGGGTGGCCAGAGTGTGTAAGGTACAGTGCACACAGCTGTAGTTTACAGAAACAGCTGTTACCCTGGGACATCATAGCTTATGTTGCTTTTAATACTGACATTAGCAGCTGCTGTCTGTTATTGCAAGGTGAAGTCTATCAGATAATTTGTCATATAAATAATATGATGACTACAGATTTGATTGACATTCTTTTCAAAATTTTGATCAGCTATGTTTACATGAGTTTTAATCATATCCACATACTTAAAATGTGTCTTTACATTTATATATTTTTGGACTACTGCATCAATGTATAAACATGATTTAAAAAAAGCACTGCATCAGGTTTCTGATGAAATGGGAAGTTTTAAAAATCTTTGATGCTTCCTGGTGCTAAAAATGAGCAAGTAATAGAGCAAGCCTTTTTGTTCATGTAGGAATGTTTCTAATGGCTTAATAGATAGTGAAAGTCAACCTTCTATCTGCTAGTCAAGGTCAATTTGCATTTCAGTGATAGAAAAGTTTCTTTCGGTTAGATTATTTACATTTTTGTGTGAGAAATGAATAAACTGAAGACAAAGGAACAAACTTTGATAAAAGATACTGTAGCTATTGAACTTACGAGATAAAAAGCCAAAGATTCCCGTCATACGCAAGTATTCCTCACATTTTGTTAAGCAACAAGGACAAAGCGTTATTGGCTTTAGTGTTATTTTATATGATAACACAAAGTATGCAAATTTATGAGACAGTGTTAGATATGGTTGATAGAAAGTGTATCATAATGTGCTTGATGGCCTCAGAGGGTTGATAGGGAACATCCTTGGAAAGACATGTCATAAAGATCAAGGACCACAGCAGATAGCTCAGAGAGAAAGTTTGGAAAACTGTTAAGAAGTTTAAAGCGGGGTTAGGTTATGATAGATGATCTTTCTGCACTTTAGAGCAGAAAGATAGAGAGCTATTTAATCCATCCTCCCAAAATGGAAATGTTATGACAATACCACAAACCAATCAGAACATAACCATTCATCAAACTGACAGGGAAGCAAAAGGGAAATTTAATCAGAGAAGCAAACTTGTTAAAACATTCGCACTGGTCAGAGGAGCCCAAAGGGAACTTCTAGGTTTACTTTGTCAGGAAGAAATATAACCCTACAAATGATCCCAAATACCCTACACTCTTGGTGAAACATGGATGGTGGCAGCATCCTGCTGTGAGGATTTCACAAGCAGTGAAACCGGTCAGAGTTGTCGTTGAGACGGGCAGAGCTAAAAACTGGAAATGTCTGGGGGGCTGCAGAGGACTTAGGACTGAAGTGAAAATGTACCTTCCAGCAGTAACACTACCCTTAATATATACCCATACTTAAAAACATGATACTGTGTTGGGATGGCAGAGTCAAAGTCTAAACCTAGAGTCAACTTAGAGTATGAGCAAAGCTTGAAAATAACTGTTCATGAAGGCTTTCTATCCATTCTGACTGAGCTACTTTTAGCTACGTTAGCTACGTGACTAAGCTAAAACTTGAAAGAGGAGCAGTGTACATATAAATATACAAAGCAGGTGGAAACACAGAGACACAACCCAAAACTTCCAGCTTTAAGAACAGTGGCAGGTCATTCTACAAAGTACTGATTCAGTTGACTGGACTTTTAAGTGAAAGTAATAATTCTGTTTTAATTTTTTTGAAAAAGAAAGAAAAAAGAAAATTCTTTCCTCTGCTTCAGTTATTTTTTTGCAAAATTGTGTAAGTCTATGGAAGAAGAAAAAAAAACGCAACAAACTTAAGAAGTCAAGGGGTCTAAACCCTTTGCACATGCATTTTCAATCACATTTTCATTGTAACTATCAAATTGCAATGCAGGTTAAACACTTTTTTTTCTCCCTTCCAGAGTTTTACATACTTTTGGTTGAGTAAGTAGAAAATGTAAACCTGCATGGCTATGGGAAGCACAAAAGATCAGCATCTCTGTTTGCTGTTAATACCAGCTTCTGTTTCACTAGGGAACTATGAAAAAAATGCTTCCGTTAACAGAGTAATCAGCACACTGTATGCCACAGTGTTAACTTACGCTGATATCTGCTAGATTACGTTATAAGCCCAAAGTAGGAAGAAGAAGGTAGTAATGCTACTGTTTGAATAAGAAATGACGGGAAATAGAACATTGTTACCAAGGTTTTCTCAGAAATGCACCAGGAACATTACATAGAAAGTGTTTCTTACTTAAGCACGTGCTGCAGTGTTTGTTCTTTTCTCTTCCCATATATTAGACTACAACCTTCTAAATTAGTTCACCTGATGTACCAGTAACTTTTTTGAAATGGGACAGTATTGAAAACACCTCTAGTAAAGAAAGGGGAAGAGTTCAGGTGTTTTATTTGAATATTTATTATCATGGACAACACCTATCACCCCCTGCATCACACTGTAGAGGAGCTGAGCAGCTCCTTTAGTGAAAGACTTACCGTATACACCCTGTTAGTAAAAAGGAGTGCTACTGCAGGTCATTCATAGCTGCTGCCATCAGACTTTACAATGCAGCATTATAACTGCAATAATTAATGTGCAATAACCTGTTTATATTTAATACCCTGTGCAATAACTATATATATATATATATATAAATGCCTCTTTATTTGAATACCGATTTAATACCCTGTGCAATAACCCTGTTAAATAAGAGACTTCAGCTGTATATACTGTATATACAACATGCACCTTTTGCGCCTTTTGGCACCATCTTTTTGACTATTGAGCCAATGTGAGAAGTGAATTTCTCCACTGTGAGATCAATGAAGGGATTCTTATCTTATCTTATTTAATATCCAAAGTGTACTTGGTGTCAGAAGCATAAAAATTCTTAATCAACAAATAAAAAATGTGGAGTTTCTTTCTCATACAGCCTTTGGATATGATTTTGCAGAATGATGAAGGTGGATCAAAAAGATTTTTACAGAACATGTGGACATCATTCCTCAAGGCCCGCCTCGTCTGTGGGTTTCCAGAAGAGTCGCTATATTTCAATCGTCTCCAGGACATCTATGTGATGCATGCCGATGACTGGCAAAATACCAGAGTCTACGGCATTTTCACAAGCAGCTGGTGTGAACCTTTTCCTTCTTTTTTGTATAGTAGCCGAGGGATGCAAATTCACAGCAAACACAAAAATTCACATGCACAGAAAAAAAGCTGCAAAAGACAAATGCTGAAATAACAGAAAATTGAGGGCTCAATTTGCAATGGGCTCTTTAACTCATATGGGACCAGAAAATAGCCATAGCTATGCAATGATGTCTATGGATCAGTCCCTTAGTAAAAACATAAATAGATAAATACATTTGCATGTGTTTGCAGTTCATCTTTTTCTGATGCATTTGCATTTTGCTGCTCTCTATTTTCTGTGTTTACAGCATTTCTCTTTTGTCTTGTTTTTCTTTTTGTATGATAATCTTATTTTTCATGTTTTCTAGTCCCATTTTTGTATCAGCAGTCTTTTAATCCACTGCATGTTTATGTATTTTTGCAGTGAATTTGCACCTTTCACTGTATTTGTGCATCAGAAACTAAGTAGCAGCATCTATCCGTGGGTGTGTTTGTTTTATTTATTGCCTATGTCTATGAGAGTAATAAAATACTGCTCCAATGCCAGTGAAGCAACCCTCATCACAGCAGTGCATGAAGCAATAACCAAATTAAAGCTGAAACTTTGATGGCATCATCCTTTTCTATTTCTGTTTCAGGAACTCAACAGCGGTTTGCATCTATTCAATTGAAGCAATAGAGAAGTTATTTGAAAGCTCATTGTTTAGGGGCTTTAATAAAGAAATCCCTACACCAAGGCCTGGAACAGTAAGAACAGCTTTATGTTTTTTTTTTAGTGCAGCTTTGGATGGGAGTAGTCTAAATGTACGAACCAGTCATGTGGCATAAATGGGTGTTAACATGGAGGATATGACTCTGGTTTACTTCATTTGTAACATTCATCCTTTCCATCCTTTTGTTGTGGTTGTTTTTCATGAGCTAAAAAGTCACAAAATAGGGTGTAAATGTGGAAAGGTTTCATGTTGCCTGGTTGTGTAAAGAAACAAGCCATTGCTTCCCACCCAGTTAGGATATTTCTAAGCAGAACCTTTAGTTTCCTCTACGTTTATATACAATTTTATGCACCTCCATGGCAGTTTATAGTAAATCTCTGTGTCTGTCTTTCCTTTCTACATTGTCAATAGCTTATAAAAACCCAATAAGACTGAAGTGGGTATTAATGTGACAAAATATTAAAAAGTTCTGAACATTTGCACAGCACTGATACTTACAATACCTCTTCCTGGGTTACAGGAACCCCAGGAATAATTTGGTGTTATTTGCTTTAAAACCCCAAAGTGAAATTGGGAGAATGCCTGCAGACAGTAGTTTGTTTTTTATTTTGTTTACTGGGATTTCCTTCCCCCTCTACCTCTTATTCATGCTGAGACAATTCAAACATTGTCCGGTTTAGTCTGCACAAAGCGTCACCCACAGCAAAGCAGCAGACAATCTCCTGGAGAATTCTTTAGAAAACAAAAGACTTTATGTAGGCGTTCATATCATGCGACTCTTTTTGTCTCAGGCACAATTCTTCAGAGTGGTAACTTAAATGTTTGGGGGATTGTTGCATAAATATGAAAAGTTATTCTTTAACTCAGAATAAGATGCTGAAGAGTCATATATATATATATATATATATATATATATATATTTATTTATTTATTTATCCTATTCTGTGCTGCCAAAGCAAAAACCAAAAACATTTCCATAGCACAATTTTTCTTCTTATCGTAATATTAGATAATGCATTTAACATGATATTCGTTTTGTTAAATGTTTGTTTCCTTGTGTTTTCTAGTGCGTGCCAAACAGTAAAGTTATTTCATTTGACACACTGAATGTAGTGAGGGACCATCCTGAAATGGTAAACTGGGTGCACCCCCTCCATTACAAAGCTCCTTTCTATGTGAGCAACTACAATTACACCAAGATAGCTGTTGACCAGGTTAAAGCAGCAGATGGGCAACTGTACAACGTTTTGCTCCTTGCTACTGGTAGGTGACGTTGCTTTGTGTCTTTTTGTCTTCACTTGACTGTGAATCATGCATTGTTATTGATCTCTATTGGGGATAAAAAAAAAAAAAAAAAAAACTCATAAAAAATTCATCCAAAAATAACACTAAACATTGTTCTAATAGATACTGGCAAGATCCATAAAGTCCTAGAAGCTGGTTCGGAGCCTTTCATCATATCGGAAACACAGCTCTCCAACAGTTCAACCATACAGGCAATGAAGCTTGACTCCAAAAAGGTAAAGTTCAGTCAAAAAGTTTTATTTTTGGACATATTAAACATCAACCGACGAAAAGATGAATTCTTTTCATTGAATGGTCCAATATAATATGTTTAATGATTTTCAAGATGTTTAGCGGAAAATGGCAAAATGATGTCACTCCATTGTAAAGGAAATCTCTGTGTTTGCACCTCGAATCTTTCTCTCCTTGTTTTTTTTTTTTTTCCTGAGAAGAGATCACTCGTGAAAAACTCTTTACTTGACACTACATAATTTATATTTATTAAATAACCATGAGACAATACAACAGATTTGGACATAAATTGTAATCTTACTCAGACCAGAGAAGTTGCTTAGGGTTACAGATGGCAGCGCTTACCAACCGGGCTTGCTTATCTTTAAGTTGGCTCCAAAAACATTTAAAGAAGCATTTTATACAGCTCCAGTATGCCACAGCCGTCACATCAATACATTACACACGTTAGCAGATGAGTAGACGTACATGGCTCCAGCCTTATCAAAATATCACTCTTTGTTTTTAGAACAAGGACACAGCTCTCATTCCATTCCCAAATCTTTGCCACGTGCATAATGAGGAAGACTTTTTTTTTTCCTGACAGAGGGACTCTCCTAATTAGATAAACTACTCAGGAAAACATAAGTTCTAACACGCAACAGGCAGTTATTATTGAGGCTTAACAGACTCACATCATCAGTAAAAATAATCCTAACACCATAGAGGCACTTCTGCCTTAAAGGTTTCAGAGCAACAGACCATGGTCCTTAACTTCACCTTTGTTGATTGTTCCCAGTCCGTTCATTTGTGTTATCAGACACTCACTCCTGCTGGAAGCTGTTTATAGATAGAGAAACCTTGGGGACCCTTTGTTTTTTGTGTTTGCATTTAGACACAGAGAACAAAGACGATGACCAAAAATAGTTTGTTTCTTGTCTTTTGTTTATTCATCGAGGCAGAATTCTTCAGACCTTATTATGAGACTGATAAAGCAGGAACTAAAGGAATATAAGATAATGACAATTTCAAGGTTTTTTGTTAATTTTGAAGCCATAGCTAAGGTCATAATAGAACAGAGCAGGAGCAGTCTGCTTGGCAAGCAAGTGAATTAACCTGTTTTACCTTATTGTCACATTAAAATAGCCTGGGTATCATATGAATAAATGACAAGGATTGTGTTTGTTTTTAACCGGCACACATTAAGAGGATATTTTTTGACGTATTTTCTCAGAAAAAGTTAGTGGTGGGTTTTCCTGAGAAAATCTCCACAGTGGACCTTCAGAAATGCGAAAACTACAACAGCTCTTGTGCTGAGTGTGTCCTGGCAAGGGACCCATACTGTTCATGGACCACATCTGGATGTACCCCCAATAACATGTAAGTAAAATCTGCTTTCATTATGAAAAAATATCTAGAAAAATGTGACTCTCTATGTTAGAATGTCTTCTTTTCTTGAACAACATAATTAAGAGCCCACTCTGCTTTGATTGGACATATCAACAGAAGATGTTTGTATTGGTGGGGTCTTGTTTCCCACGGACATCATCAAAGTTATCAAAATACTTATCAGAGTAGACAGTAGTTTTAGTAAACACCTCAAACTGTTAAAAGCTATCTGTAATCCAAAATCTAGTTCCGTATGAACTAAACATCTTGTTGCTTCCTGTAAACAACCTCCACATTTACTGCCATCTGTAGTAAATGAAAGTGTTTTTTAACTATATAACTATCTCACAAGAAAGTTTGTGAAAATCATACTTTTAAGTTGGTAAGTATGTAAACAGACCGCATTTATAAAACTGCAAGAATTCCTTATTATATCTTTAGATACATTTAAGACAATGTTGAGGAGAACATTGGTTAATTGGAGAAAATTATATCTCCAACACACCTCATACTTTTGTGACAACATGAGGAATTTGCACCAATACATCAAGAGGAGAGTTATTTACCTTCACAAGTTGATTTTATCCTAACATTTCCAGATTGCTGAAGGTCCCTTGTTCATCAGTGTGAATGGTATTGTGCAGGTTTAAACACAATTGGGATATCTGGTCATGATTAGAGAGTCAGTATCTGCAAAGCAACAGGTACACATGAAGGGGTAGACTATTTTTCCAGATGGGGTTTTCAATATCTTGACTAAAATTGGCAAATTGATCCAATACCAAACATTGATATGCTTTTTTTTTAAGTGCTACATGTTATACTCTATGTGGGGGTCTGCTGCTGCCTTGGTAGTTCATCGTTATGGGATTTATTTCCCGCAAACTAAATAATATGGTAAAACTTTTTTTTTTTTTTTGTTTCCACAGCGAGGGCATTCAGAATATAAAGGATGGACATACAACTGTGTGCCAAACAGCAGTAGTGAATGGTAAGTTATAAAATTCTGGAAACTATACCAGACTAGCTTCATCGCATCTTTATTAATCCATCTTTTTTATTCTTTTTTTTTTTAGAAGTAAAGGTATTGGTCAGGCGCAAAAGGCAGACAGATTCACTTAATCACGCAATCCCCAAAGGCGTCCCCTTCTATCTGTCCTGTCCTATAGAGTCCTATCATGCTAAGTACACCTGGGAGCATCAAGGTCGAAACTTTTCTTGCCTGCAGATGCTTTCTAACTGTTTGCACCTTATTCCTTCAATGGAAATTGAAAACTATGGTGAATATAAGTGTATCTCCATAGAGAAGGACTACAAAAAGACTTTGAAACAATACCAGCTTACGGAGCAGGGGATTCCAGATGAAAAGAAAAGCTGTTGTGATCCTAAACTAAATAATGCAATAGGCCTTTCTCCGCAGCTGACGTGGATATTATTACAGATTGTGGTGTTGTGGGCAATTTTGAGTTAAATCCTGTCAACAACAGTTTTGAACATGCAAATAAAGTCCTGAAAAAAAAAATAAAACTCCCAGACTGCGCTTCAACAAGCCCCACATCAGCACATGCATGGTTTGTGAAGCAATGCAGCTGTGAGGTTATATAAGATCTGTAGCCACTGAAAAACTAACAGGAATAAGCAGAATATAACTAGGGGCAGTTAGTTTAAGCTTGTTCTCTAGTGTGCAGAAATGTTATGGCTTTAGATAAATAACTTAACACTGAATTAAGCAAAGCTTTAACCTGAATTGAGCAAAGCTTTAGCTTTTTACCACTCTGCACTTTATATGATTCTGATGTGGTATGTCTGTAAGGCTGCTCCACCTTAAGAGCTTTGACTTACCAAACCACAATGGGTTAGGCTTTCTGAAAAAAAAAAAAAAAAACAAGGTTTGGTTTGTTTCTGTTATCCAAAAAAAAACAAAACAATCTTAGTCATATTTATGAAGAAATGAGAGATCGGTGGTCTTCAATCAAGTCGCATTTATGAACCCTTGCAAGGGGGAACAGATGCAGTGTTTTCCTATTTGTACTGGCAAGACCAAGAATCTGTCTAGCTAATTAGGAACCAAAAGAAGAACAGGGAGGGTTTCACACACAGCAAAATCAAAACAAAGTTAGCATATTTCCGCAAAGAGAAGGGCAGTTGAAATAACCTTGAATTAAAGGAGTCAAAACATCTAACACTGGTAAGCAGCTTCCCAGGCGACAGTCAGTAAGATAAGGCTTCCATCTAGCCTTGTCCAGCAGGTGTTCTGATTGGCTGAATACCTTGGTGCGATAAATGAAGTAAAACATGCTCATATGTAAGTTATTAACTGGAATGTATCTGTATTAGAGTGTAAAATGATCTTTCCCATCACAGTTCTTCCTCTTGACCTTAAAAATAATTGTTACTGCTGTTGTTAACAACAGACAACTGTAAAAATGTAGATCATGTTTGGAAGTTAATGTAGTTTGCTAACAGTCATCCCAGTAGAAGGCTAAATAAAATGAAGACCTGTGTCAAACGAGTGGAAAAGCTCTTAAATTATTTTACAAGCAATGAAGGATAATACTATTAACCCAAATAATTACAGCACCCTAATTCAGATGTTAGCTTACCATGTGTGGAAAAAATACAGGCATTTATATACCGCAGCATTTCTGTATAACATATCGTATCTCGTACATGGAATCCCATCATGTGGTGTTTCTGAGAATCTGTATGATTACTTGGTTCAATCCTGCTGCAGCAACAAAACCAGTGACATTAGAATGGGAACATCAGTAGTCTTGGTATTATTATTATTATTGGGACAGTTCACCTCTGCCTTCATGGTTGATGTGGAGATACATCAGGCTTCATGTGGAGCAATGTGATGAAGGAATATTATATCTAGAAGGCAGGCAAACTCTCTGTACCGGTCCATCTGTACCCTGACCGCAAAGGATAATGATTAAGAGAACAACATTTGCATAAAATGTCTGCAAACCTCCCTTAAAAGGCAAGTTGAGCTCAGTCTCACAGACAGGGCAGGGAGCTCCAACATCTGCAGGGAGTTCAGGTTAGAGGCCCAGCTCCTCTGCATCCAATGATGCAAGCTGAGGACACTGGTCAGGGTCCTGAGATGAAGTATGTAATCTCAGTCTGAGGTTCCTCCAGAATGAGCTGCAGGGCGTTGCCTTGGAAATGTCTGGGTATCCCACCCAATGAGACCATGAACACTACCTCTGTGGCATGACTTTAGAAAATGAAGTATTGGATGGTTGCGTTAAGTTAACCATTAATTTGAACATGTATTTGTTTTTCTTCGAAAAACTTAAATGCAGATTAGATGTTCAGGAGGTTTGTTAGTATCCAAAGCAGCTATCAGTTAGTGCAAAGTACAGCTAACAGTTTAAATGGGACTATGTAGTTACTATGACCTTACAAATTTCTTAAGACAGTAGCTCCCTCTGGTTTCATAAAAAGGCTTTGTATGATTTTTATCATAATTAGACTACGTGAGCAGAGGTAGGATATTGTTAATGCCTGAAGCATTTCCAATTTGTTAATGCAGGATGCCAGCTAATGCAGGCTCAAAAAATTTAAAGATTATGAGGTCAAACACTTTACATATTTTTTGTCTTTTTTTCTCCAGCCATACTATGAGTAAGCTCATATAAAATAAGGCATTGAAATGCAGCCTTGTGTCAGTATAGTGAAGGATTGCGTTATTAGCATTTGGCAAGGGGACAGAAGTTGAAGGTGAGAGAAAAGGATGAAGTGGGTTGGTGCAGAGGAAGGATCCTTGTATCCTGTACCATTTGACAGGGAAAAGGTTTATTGATGTTGGGAAATGAGATATGCAAAGGATTGTCATGGTAGATAAGGACACTGGCTTCAGGTGGAGATGAGTCCAACACAGCAGTGTTGTGTCCTAACAGAACCTGCTGGAATGTTTGACCTGTTTTTCAAGGTGAGACCAGGATAGAAGAAATGAAAACACAGCTAAATAAATACTCTACCAGGTCCCTCCCGGCTGGGAAGGTTATTTTCTGCCTTCTGGACTATTCCAGAGCCAAGTTCAATAGAACTGAACCCCACAGCTAAACATTTTTTTGTATGGGTGGGAATTTAATGATGGAGGGAGAAAACAGTAAACCCAGTGATATATCTGCTGAAGTCAGTAAAATAGAAGGATATTTTAAGAAGAATGTATTTAAAATAAACCTTTCATTGTGAGTGTCGGCTGCAGATCTAGCTCACAGTTTTTCTTTACTTACAGACTTTATGTTTGCAAATCCACCCGTTAAAGCCAGTAGAACATAAAGTAGATCTCTCCTCTTTCTCTTTACTTCAAATATATAAGAATATGTTTGTTTTAGATGGTTCAATAAGAGCAAAACTCACTAGGGAACTGATGATGGGATTGATTCAACTTGCTTTCATTGAAAAGTCTGAAAAAACAAAAACAACTAAAAGCATAGCTTCCAAAAAAAAAAAAAAAAAAAAACTACCACAGCTGTAGGTTAGGCAGCAGAGCTTTAGTTTGCACTTTGAAACTCTTTTACTTAAGCTTTCCGTAGGGTCGTAATTTTCCGTTTTACCTTCTTTCGTTCTTGCGTTTCGAAATGACGAACAGGAGACTTGTTTTAACGCCGTTCTACTTTATTTTTTACATATGTGTTTCCATGACATGAACTTCTTGCCCACACTACGGAAGCCTAGACAAAATATATATGGCAAAATATGTCTAACTCAAAATTTACCAATAAACAAACAAATAAGAACAGAAATATATCTTAAACTTAGAATAATAAATTCATCTTATATTTTCTATAAATGAGGCTTACACTTTCTACAAAAGGCTTTTTACAACGTACAATAATGTACATATAATGCACTACATTAGTGTCTTGTTTTATTTATATATATATATATATATATATATATATATATATATATATATATATATATATGTATATATATATATATATATATATATATATGTGTGTGTGTGTGTGTTATTTCTAATTAAATAAAAAAACAATTAACTTGAGATTACTGGAAGGATTGTAATTTATAAATGGATATGTGGATCACCATCCCTCAGGGTGTATGAGTTAAAGGCAGGGTTACCATTCCTCGGTCTCTTTGGTCCCAATTCCTTTTGCAGTTGTATATAAGCTGGGAGAATTGTGCAGAAGATTGTGAGGGAGCCAGAATTGTTGCATTAGTATCTCTTCTTCCTGTTCAGGATTTGTCAAAGACCTACAGTAACCACAGGCCCCTTAACATTTCTTTGACATCTCACCCATTCCCATGATTTGTTTTATAACTGCTGCTATCAGGCGACAGTTTAGCATTGAAAGCAAAATTTCCAGACTGTTGAAAAACTTTCTGCTTCAAGGCAAGGCAAATTTATTTGTATGGCACAATTCAGTACAAACACAATGCAAATTGCTTTAAATGATTAAAATATAGGGGAAAAAATAGAATCAAAGCAAGTACGGAAAAAAATAAAATAAAAAATGCAGAAACAAAAAAGAACATTAAAAACAGATGGACTAAGTTATTAAATGCTGATCTTCCGTTATGATTCGGTTCTTCATATATTTGCACTTGATTATGTATTTAATCTGTTTTGTTTGTATGTAGCTGTGTGTTTTATGATATATTGAATTATTTTTATACTTATATAGATCTTTGATAATTATTGTTTCATATTGTGGATCATGTTATTTATCACCTAGCTAAAGACGGAATACCAACTGGAATAATGTATTTTTTTTTTTTCTAAAACAAATGACTGGTTCAAACTTCTCTTTCTTTTACCTATGGTTTTGAACTTATGGATTTTTGTCTGTGAAATTGTGGGGGAGAAAGACTTCTCTCTCTGCTTCATTGAAGGTCATCTACTACAGCGTGTTAGCATTCAGCTGCAGTAGTGAAAGTTTCTGTCCTCACCTGTTCATAAAAGCATTGCACTATTATTGTTGTATTGTCTCTTCTTGTCGATGAAATCATTCTGCTCATCTGGTAAGAGTAATGACCTAAAAAGGTTAAATCATCTATAGTATCCAAGTGCGTGGATAATGTATTTTTGCTACAATATATCCAGAAAACTGGTTCCATTCAAGTCAAAGTCCATGTTCTTCATAACTGGGTATCCATGGGGATTGAAGGCCGATTTTGATCAATGAATCGGTTAGACTTTTGTTTGGGTTTGTAATGCATAAGGGTGCATTAACCATTTGAAAATGTGATATTTGTAACAGAATATTCTAAAACTGTGGATCCTCATGTTTTTTTTCCTATGAATGGCATCCCATATCTCTAACAGCAGAATATTATTAACATCTTTTTTTCTGAGCCAAGTCTGGGATCTGCAAGGACCTAGCCATTAACACTTACAACAAAAATCTGTGCTTCCATATTTAATAAAAAATAACAGATAAGAGTTGTGTTTTTTTTTTCTTTTTCTAGTTTGAAATTATTCTTTTTAATTGATGAGATGCTTAACACTTTGCCCCCCGGTGACCACTGTTAATCCACTGTTAACTGCAGTGGTGTCAAAAGTACACACACGTGTTAGTTAAGTAGAAGTATAGGTAGTGAATGTAAAGGGGAGGTTTTTGTTACTGGGGCTATTTTTCTGAAAATAGCCTTTTATGTAAATAACTTGTAGCACTGTAAAGGGGCCTTTGCACTTTATTAATAATCAGCTTGCTTATCACTAGGACACTTGATTTAGCACTGCACTTTAAGCATAGATTTGCACATAAAAAACTGTTTGCACACAAGGTTTTTAAAATATTTATTGTGTATTTTAGTAGTTAGCATGTAGCCTTTTGTTCCCGGCTCTCTACAGCTGCTCTACATTAGTGATTGGGGTGGTTGTCTGTGGAAAAGAGAATTGATGTTTAGAGCAAGCAAGGGTTACTGTTTAGAAACTTCAACAAATGTTAGTGTAAAGTCTGTTAGAAGTGAGAGCAAAAGAGGTGTGGTGCTTGGTGTTTGGACAAATGTTTACCTGGGAGTCCAGACCCCTTTTATAGGTTCTAGGAGAGACCATGGAAAGTATAGGAGTTGTGCACATAGGTTGTGTGATTTCTATAGTGTTTGGATGTAAATTAAATCAGAAAATGTTTATAAAAGATAACCTTAAGTGTGTGTAGATATTTGATTTAAATGTGTGTTTTAGATGGAAGAGAGGAGTTAAATTTCATGTAAATAGTTTAGTCCATCAGCTGTGTCTATTTAAGCCTTAGATTGTGTTTTTGATGGAGACGGAATGCTGTGGGGCCAAATAAACCTGCTGATACTTCAACTTCACTCTGCCTGACAAGTTCATTTTCTCACTGAAAATCCAGCTGAGAGGTCGCCTGCTTACACTGTAGTTTAAAAACACTCTGGTAAAAGTTGAAGTATCATCATGACCTATTTACTCAAATAAAAGTGAAAAAGAATGTGCTCCAAAAACTACCTAAAGCATAACAGTATATTGTAACCTTTAAAAAAGCAGCCAGATGCCACTATATGAATTGGAAACTAAATTTTTCTAAACATCATCCTAACAGAGTTCATGTGCTCCATTTGCCTCTGTAATAAAACATCGCACCCAATGAAGATACCTGCTGCACTATGAAACAACCCGGGAAACTAATGCAAATATAAACGTCATTAATGGTTTGCTTTTAAGTTGAATATATTTTTTATAGCATTAATGCTTTAATAATACTCTTGGTATGATAAAAAAAAAAGACATTGGCCTTTTAAAAGGCATGTCTTACTGATAAAAGTATTTTTTTAGGCGGGGTGCCTCAGTCAATCAGGATGTTGAATGAAATCAATCTCCCTTTCCTGGATATGGGGCTTAATGCTCTTTGTGATGAGTAGGATAACACTTCCTGCTTGTACAGATAGCAACAGCTACAATCATATCTAATAAATCTCTACAAGCTTTGGAGGCCCATAGTGAAAAACTTTTCTTTGCTATTATATAATTTTCATTTTAAACTCAGCAATCACAAACTACATGCAGACTTTTTCTCTTATGGAAATATCACAATTTTTAACCATATTATATTTCTTACAAATTGAAGTTCTTCATAACAAAGTTCTCTGAGGATTTTAGAAACACCAAATCTCAAATCCAGTCATATCAAAATGACATTTTTCATATGACAGTCAGCAAAGTGCACCAAAGAATGTAAACACACAGTGGGTCTTCATATTCTCTGTTGTTGTTTTTTTTCCAACTGTCAGATCACCCTCCTGACCAACCCTAGATAGTTAAATCTAAAATATTTTCTCTTTTAGACTTAAAAGAGCTTGTCTGTCCTCTGTCTGCTCTTTATTCGGTACAGCTGAGCAGCACGGTTATTTTCCCTTTAGGCTATTTTAAAAAGAGTGCCTATATAATGCCTTTTAAAAGGGAACGTGTCTCATCCGGTGTTATGAATTAAACCGAACACGGTTACCACCGTGCATTTCTCAGTTTCCTGTTTTCCATTCAGGACACAGCATGAGAGCCTAAAATTAACTTTGGCCTGCAAATATGTGCAGCACACCCTTGTTAAGGTGCTAAGGCTTTGTGGTGAAACAAAAGACACCCTGTAGCACTTTTGATTCAAATGATGAAATCATTTGGAGGGAAAAAATAAAAGAGAAACAATAACCCATTGTGTTTCTGCTATAACCAGTGGCAGTGTGAATACAATGGATGCTAAACCTCCTCTGAAAGTTTGGAAAATTATTGGTAAAATGCATATTGTCAAACTTCATAAATGCAGTCATTAAACTGCACTAAATATGTGCTTGATTTACTGAGTATATTGTGCATTCCTCAACTGTTTATTCCACTCTTAGACACAACCGTCCCTCCGCTCTGAAACAGCAGGACGCTGCCTGTCAGCCTCTAAGAGAAATCCCTGTTGAGGTTTGAACCTCTATCTATTGAGCTAACCAGGGAGAAAGTTGAGCCCTGATTAGATAACATGCCAGAATATATAAATAAAATATGTCACTTCCATTGAGGCTAAACCTCTTAGATGGTCTATGGAGCAAGGGCCTGGCCGCTTCTTGCTGATTGGAAAATGTACTTAAGGATTTTTGACTGACAGTGGCCAGAGAGCTAGGAGGTTTTCAAGAGGGAAAAGTCATCATTCAGTCAAAACAGTGATTTTGTGCTGAAGTCTTACCGTGGTTTCTGGAGTTTATTATTATTTCAGAGCGCTTCACATCAGCTGTTTTCATCTGTTGTAGTAAAGTGTTTTATGTTCCAACATTAGTTAAAGCAATACGTGATGTTTGGATTTAATTAAAACCATTGAGCCTCCCCTGTTTCAGAGGGCAGCAGCCGCCACTGGCTACAACACAGACTTAACTGATATTCATTCATTAAAAAAAAAAAAAGTAAAAGAAAAACAGTAAAGTGAGGAAGGCAGATCAAAAGTAAAAAAAATAAAAAAAACAAAATAAAACCTGCAACAACAATCAAAACCTGCTTTATTTGTTGTTA